CCAAATTATCAAGTATAGAAAGACAAAAATTTTAAAATTTTTATTCCCCTAACTTATCAATAAAATATTTCTCACTCTGTCATAATATTCTGTAATATATCGAATTCTTCTAATTTTTTAGAAACTCATTTATTTTGAATGAAATCACTAACTATAAAATAATGATCATGATCACAATATTGTTTTGAAAATTGAAAAAATCTGACTACTTCTAGAAATCTTATTTCTTTTCGTTTGTGACTACAAGATTCGTAATCGTCTTCACATGTTTTACACCAAGTTTGTTTTGGTTCTTCTCCTTTGGAATTTAAAAATTTCTTAAAAGCCTGTTGAATTTCAACTTCAGTTAGTTTAGAATAAAAATTGTTCTTTAAAAGATTTTTGATATATTTCATTGAATCTTTTTTGTGAATTTTATTCCCATTAAAAATATCAGATGCCCTAATCTTAATTTCTTCAATTACATCGAGGAAGTCTGTAAAGGGGATCTGATTTCTTTCAACACCTATTTGTTCATCTGAGGTAAGATCCAATAGCTTTTTAATAACTTTAAACTTCTGATTTCTTTCCATATTTTTAATCTTATCTTTTTTGAGTTCATAAAAATTACGAGATCTTTTTAAAGAACTATCAGATTTCATTTTGTATAAAGTGATTGAGAGTAGAGTTATGAAAGTGCTTGATACTTGAGATCCATGTATTTATTAATTATTCAGAATCTGTTCTCCTTCACCAGAATTTTCTTGCAACAGTTATTGATATTATAATTCGAAAATTATATACAAAGAAATAAGTCTCTGCTAGTCAATAATAAAGTCTTTACGCATAAACTGTTCGGTCAAAGGACCATATATAGACTTGAAAGTAACACGTATGATTCCATTTCTTTGTTTCAGCAATATTCATTCTTCATATATCGAATTTCAAATTAAATCTATATTGAAAAGGTATAGTTAACCACTCGGAAATGCCAAATAATATTTTGTTTAAAAGTGTCTTGTTTCAAAAATCATTCAAACGATTACGCGAAAGTCTATACTACTTTTACAGTAAGTAAAGATATTAACAAAGAAATGGAGCTAAAGTACGTGAAAGGATTGGACCTAGTTAGTATAATTTAATATCTATATGTAAACTAAGATATTTGTGACGTGTAATAAGGCGAATTAATGTATCAAAACCCAAGTTTGGATTTAATTAGAATATCAGTTTTTTTTATTCATTATATGTGCAGCCAAAGTAACCATTTGTAATTCAATTATACGCATTTCATAATGTATGTATTATGTTGCACTTTCTAATTTATATAAGAAGAGCACTGAAAAAATTGAGGCAAGGATATTAATGGTTAGATTAATTATAATTAATGTTGCGTACGATGACAGTAGTGAAAATAAATTCTAAATTGAAAGATTAAAAAATTATTCTTGTTCAAGTTGTACCTGTTTCAGAAATTATTTATAAAATGAATACAACTTGCGCCCATTCCAATTGAGACAGAGCCTGATAACCAAACTTTGGCCCTTACTAACATTTTGTATCACATATTATATTTATTTAAACACCATGAAATCCAGTGTAAAGACAAATACTGAACAAAAAACATTCGAACAAATAAATAACATGTCTACCAGCAAACGTGACCACAAAACATATTGTGAAGATTATAAATTAAACAAAAAACATTATGTGAAAAAGCTGAAAAAACTCAGAACAGAAATTATGATTTCTGATTCAGATGATGATCTGCCGTCTCTCAAAACTGTGTTACAAAACATACCAAATTTCATCAAAAAAATTAACAAAAAATATAATGCTAAGTTTATCGGGATAAATCGTTTTCTTAGAATCAGTAAGAAGAAAACACGAGCTAAGCTAAAAAGCTTGGTGAAAAGACTCAAAACCCAAAAAACTTACATGAAAAAACTCAGAAAAGAAATTATATTGATCCCTGATTCCGATGACGACGAACTGCCGCCTCTCAAAACTGTGTTAGAAAACATACCAAATTTCACCAACAATAAAATTAACAAAAAATATGATGCTGAGTTTATCAAGATACATGATGATACCACGGCTGCAAATAATAATAATGGTGATTTCACATATACCATCAACAAAGATCATTCTCTTAAAATCAGTAAGAAGGAAATACGAGCTAAGCTAAAAAACTTGGTGAGAAAACTCAAAACCAAAGAGGTTACCAAACATATCATCGATATATGTAAACATAAAGAAAAATATGAGTACTACAACGATTTCAAATCACTATCTGAATTGCAACTCCATCATCCACTCGCTATAATGCATCGATTTAATAATTTAGTACCTGGATATTATGGAATGAAAGGGTTCACGATAATGTACGAACATTTGATAAAAAACCCGACAGTGTGGAAACCTAAAGTAGGAGATATAAATAAAAAATTGTTGTGGCTGAAGCTGGAAACGGCTGAAGCTGAAAATTTTAAATATTTTAATATGAAATTTTCAAATTTTTTTGGGGTGCATTTTTTTAGCTTTTTTTTAATGGTTAGATTAGGATTTAGGGTTAGTTTTGATAATGAAAGAGTATAAGTAGATTTTGGCAGGGTTTATATTTTTAAATCAGAGTCCCTGATTTCCCGCTTCAGCCGTTTCCAGCATCAGCCACGACAAAAATTTATAGAAGAAGTTATAATTCCCGAATTGGGTGTTTGGTTCATAATGAAAGATCTTGGGGTTAATGACTACGACACCGCTGTAAAAATCACGCGTGAGAGTGTTGAATATGGTAGCGAACATTTTTTTGGAGACGATAATGACAAATATTTTTGGTGAAAAGATATATTTATTTCTTATATTTGTATGATAAAAATCTGTAAAAAAGAGAACACTCGATTAAGGAGCTCATAGGTTTAGAATGTTTCACGTATTTACGTATTCAACAGTGATACATCACGAACCTTTATGATGTAAATAATTTAATAAATTGTCTTAACTTGTATATATCTTATTCAAATAAATGATACCGAATTATGTTTATGTATTGTTTTAAGAATAAAAAATTATTTTTTTAAATTGTCAAAATTTTCTTTGATCAATTAAACGTCAGGTGATTCTGGAAGATCTGCTTGTGTTACGTTCTCTTTGTAGTACATACGAATTCTTATCATTTTTAAACATTAATCAAAAGAACAAATTAAAATCAGAGAGGATGAAGCAGAAGCATTTGTTTTTGTGATCATAATTGTTAAT